GGCACAGGTTGCCCAGAGAGGTGGTAGATGCTCCATCCCTGGGAATGTTCAAGGTCAGGTTGGACAGGGCTCTGAGCAACTTGATCTATTTGAAGATACCCCTGCTCATTGCAGAAACTCCATGGGTTTTTTTGCCAGGTGGTAGGCACTGAACTTCTGCTGGTGCAAACGATGCCAGCACTTAAAAAACAGACTTCTAAAAGGACTTATAAAAGAGTATCTTCTTCACAGGGTGTAACAATACCTCTTCTTTCCTTGTCATGGATGGGAGGGCTGGAAGACACAGCACCATTGGGGTGGACATTTTGATGTGGACATGAGTTTTAGAGGATGAAAGAATATCCAAGTAGAGGAATGGTGGGATTCCCTCAAAAAGATATAGAACAAATGCAGCCTGAGTTTTATCCTCTGAAAACGTAGGGCTGATGAAGGGCCTAAGAAGGAGGAAGGTCTCAGAGGTTTACTGGCTTTGAAAAAAAGAAGTTCAAGGCACTAATATGTTATTTTGTTCAAAAGGGAATACAGTACCTTACAAAGGTACATGGCAGCCTTGTGTGAGCATCAAATGCACACTGCAGAGGGGGCTGCTGTTTTGCTCTCCAGCTTAGCAAACACATTACAATTCTTCTGTCATCCCTTATGTGCATCAGAAGATGTTTTGATTCTACCTTGCAAAGTGCTTTTTATCTGAAAGTCATAGAAGTGTTTTATACTGTGGCTGTGCATCATTGTCTCCATTTCAGGTGCAGGAAACTGAGGCATTAAGAGGTAAGATGAACTGCTTTAGATGGCTCGACAGGCCAGTGACACAGACAGCAATGAAAATTATTTTATGGCGAGGAGTTTTAATTTTGTAGAGTATGTGGTTTTCTTTAGCTTAAATGCAACTTCATAGTATTTTTCTTAAACATAAATAGATTCCCATTAAATCTACTTTTAACTCTTTCCCTACATGGAATTTAAGTGAATATTTTCTTTCACTTTATAGAAATTTTCCTGGAGATTGAAGAGAGAAAGCAACAGGAATTTTGTTTCTCCAGCTCATCACACATTTATATAACCAGAGTGAAATCTGTTTTCTGTTAGAAGAGAGAGGAGGGCAGAGGTTGGGTGGTTTTTTTTTTTTGTTAACAGACCCAAAAGTTGTCTGGAAACTGTGCCAGAACAATAGCATAAAAAGAATGCATCTGGAAGTCATTAGGGAAGCTCAGAGTGGGCAGTGAGTAAGGCAGGATGGAATTTCTACTTTTTTTTCCCTTTACAGTTTCTAAGCCAATCAAACACAGCACAACTTTAAAGCCAATCAAAAAACAACACTTTTAAAGTCTTATGAATATGCAAGCAAGAAAATTCTTCCCCATTTCTCTCCTGAAGGCAATTCCAATCATCCCTTCTGTAATAACTCCTAACACAGTTTTCTGCACAATTTAGGAGAGTTCAAATACTTTCCTTTTGCTCTGCCTTTTTTTTTTCCCCTATAGTATTCACTGGAAAATTCTAACTTCCTTCTTACATTAAAAAGCAACTGTTAGAGCATTACACTGGCATTGTAAAATACAGGGCTATAATTTTGCATTAAAGCCAAATCCCTGTAGAGAATTAGAAGCATCAAATTACTAATGAAGATCTATTTTCTGTTCAGCTGCTTCTACTGACAGATCTGTTTGTCTGTGGGTAGCCATTTTCCTCCTGCAGCCATCAGTACCGTGGGCCAGGCTGCTACTGTATCCTCCCAATATCTCCTGTCAATTTATGCCTTGAATGCAGCAATTAGAGACAACTAAGTAGTGCCAGGCTCCTCCTTTCCTAACCAGCTGCAAAGCCGTCATAGGACCTCCTTCTTCTTAGCATATCTGGTGATGCAAAATGCTGATTTGTTATTCTGCTAAAGCCCAATTTTTTTTTTCATTCCATCTTTAACTGTCTGTAGCAGGAAATCTAATCTGCTGTGAAGTCAGAATCAGATGCAGTCAAAAATATGAGAACCAACTTTTCTCCACCAATTTTAAAGATAAGTAACATCATACAGACACATCCATTGATCCCATTTCATCACCACAAACAGGGCAACAGTTACTGAATTAATTGACACTTACTGGTACCTGAAAAGACCATGATGAAGAGGTCTCTCACTTTATATTTTCATTTATGCTGTTTGTACCGCATTCCACTGATGGGAGGGCTAGGTTTGCAAGCCTGTGGTGCTCCACTTTGTAAAAAGAGAAGTGGTGTTTTGGCACTGCTTTCCATGCTCTGGGGTCTACAAGATGAAAACTAGTGCAGAATTGGAATGACCAGTACATTGACTAGTGTCAGTAATGGTTGTGTTCTGCCACTGGAGTGCCCTGTGGACTTGGCCAGACATTCAGTCCCTCATTCTGCAAGTGTCTGTGGTCAGACTAGTATCTACCTGAGCACAACAGTATTGTGAGGTTAGTTTTTTTTAACACCTGGATGAGGTTTGCACAAACTGAAGTGTTGAACATATGGAAATATAAATATTACCTCTCTGACAGTGCTATACCACTAATGCATATGCTGCCTGAAATGTCTGCAGAATTTTAAAAAGGAACAAATAAATACAGGACAAGCTCTGCAACTGAAATTTATCTGTTAGTCCATAGTATAGTTTTATGCTTCTTATGGAATAATTCATTTTCCTGTACCCTATAGCATCGTAAAACTATATACTAGAAAATAGGATGTCATATGCAGATGTCCCATTCCCACCATTTCACCTGGCAGGAGCCCTAGGGAGTGAAGAAGGAGAGGAGGCCATGGCCAAGCAGCCAAACCAGCAGCCTGTGCCCTGCCCCATGCTTGCAGCAACGCATATGAGTACAAGGAGGTGAGCTGTGGGGGTTGCCTGAGCAGGTGACCATTTTCCATAGCTCCTTGCACTTTTCACCCTGTGTCTCCTCAAGGAGTATGGGAAAATCATATACAGGGCATGAAGCATTAACCCTCAGGCAGAGATGAGGTTAATCTAAGAAGAGGGAGAACATTTTGGGTGCCCAGTCTTTTTCAAATAAATGAGCTGTAGTCAAATTTGCAGCAAAGCCGGGATGCAAGAAAAAGCCTTTGTGTGACTGAAAGTGGGGACCATGAATGGTGCAGCACAGAGGCTTCATGAAGGTGGAAGGCAAGACAAATTTTTGCATGGCCTGATAACAGCCTGCAGAAATCATTGAGGAATTAGGAATAGAAAGAATTAATTCCATACAGACTCACAGAAGCACCAGAGCAAGTAGGAGAGAAATGAGACTTGCTGTGAACTAGTGCACAAATGCTGGGGAGTGCTGGATTTCTGTTTTTTCTCGCTGCTGTACATGTTTGTTTACCTATGTCAGACAAAGTGCCAAGGTCAGCACAGTAGTTGGGAACTGGTGAAGGAGGTAACCCTCCCAAGACAATCACAGATAAACACACATTAATGATCTTTATTCTGATCAAGTAGTTTTGTGAAGAATAATTAGGACTACCTGTTTTCAGTTGTTTGGTAAAATCTTCAAGAACGGCAATCATTAGCAGCACTTGAAAATAATGGATGAAAATGCTAGGTCTTCCAGACATTGATATAAGAGAACTGCAGCCTGAGATGAGTGTGGGGATCTCAGAGCTTCTGCATATTAGGAGAAAGCCATAAACCTTTCCCATTTTGCTGCTTTGTAACTATAGAGGTTTTATTTATTCCAACTTTCTTTTCCAGTTCTTCTTCTCAGATAACATCTGTGCTGTTACTTACAGAGGTGAAATTCCCTGTGAAATTCATGTTTTTCTGTTAGTATTCCCAAAGCAGGCAGAGCAAACATGTAATTAATGGAAATGATAGCCCCAGGAAGCTTATTAGCATAATGTTCAGTTAATCCACCATTCTTCATTCTTTGACCTTTCCCAAAGGAAATGGAATATATCTGAGGAAATAAAAGACATCTTGCAAACAGCCTCATGTGAATTATGTTGATAGTATCATCCTGACCTTTGTAATCGGATATTGATGATCAAGTAAGCAAATGATTACACATTTTCCTGCATTTGAGCAGTTATCCAATTCCTCAGGGATAGACATGGAAACCACAACAAACAGTGGCCATTTGCCAATATAACCAGCAGTCCTGTCACTATTTCAGATATTAGTTACCCTTGGTTACCCACTTTTTCCACAGAGGTGAGATTTTCATGTCAAGAAAGAGGCACACTGGGCATGGGGACTGCTTTTGCAGTCCTGGAGAATTGAGAGGTTTCATTCTCTTCAAAGTGCGCAGAGCAAAAGTGGGAAGGAGAAAGGGAAGATGCTGCAAGAATGGATCTACACTCTGACATTATTCTATGGAGTTGGACATATAGCTGTGATGTGGGAAACACACTCAAGTTTCTGCCCAAGATCAAAACAAAGACTTAGATGTTGGAATTCAGCACCCCAAATTCCCTTTTTTCTCTGTTAAATCATGCTTTTGCAGAAGGAAATTGCAGATCTGGGAACCAGCCAGTGATCAGCCATTAATTTTCCCTCCTGCCACAGGATACAGGAAATAAGGATATAAGAGAAAAGAAAATCAAGAAGTTGAGACAAAATGAAAATAGAAATTTTCTTTTCTGTGCATGTTTCTATTACAAAGAAATCCCTAAATTTCTAAGCAAAAATATTTTTACAGAAGGATTTTAGGAGAGATTCTTAGAGTATGAGAAGATGTTTGATGCACAACAGAGGATATTTCATCCTGGATAATGGTAAGAGACTGTACGGATAAAAAAAAGGAAAATTAATTATATAGAAGTTACACAAAAAGCAATATTTATCCTGTAAAAAAGGTGAAGAGAAGTGGAATGGACAAAAATGAGCACTTAGTCTTCCATATCCTGAATGGGCCACAGAAAAAAAAACAACAACCCTGAGAGATTTCTGAAGAATCTTTAAGTTAAAGGGCTTTGTTTAAAATCACAAGAAAGAGATCTGGGGAAACCATGATGTCACAGGGCTCCTGATTTGAACCTCAAAGATGACCTCAAAGTACTGAGAGGAGTGGTGTGGGAGGGGAAACAGAAAATGAAATGAGATAGATCCTAAAAAAATGGTAAAATGTCCTCCAGCTATGTAAATGAGGGACAGTGGCAGGAAAGAAGAAATGGGCTAGTAAGCAGTGAGAAAGAGATGAAAGATGAAAAAGAGAGAAATTATTTGTAAATCAATATGTAGGTAAGTTCTTTGCACTTCATTCTTCATCAAGAAGATTATGCTTTTATTTACTAAGAATTCATAAAAATTTCATGACACTGAAACTTGAAAAAAAAAATCTAAATGAATACAGTCCAGGTTATTTGCATTGTTTAGTTTTCTAGGCTTACCATGTCATGACACCTCATCTCAAACTGAAGCTTCCCTGATCTGTAGAGATCATCCTGTAAAAGTGATTGTTGCCAATATTTTCTCTGAATTGAATATAACCCAGCACTTAGTAAGCGGGAAATGTTCAGAGACCATGTCTTAAGAACTGTGGAAAATGAGATAAAAGTGATTTTGTTACTGTTAAAGAAAACTGTGAAGTGTACTTCTGAGATCATGTTGGTAACTGAGTGGCTAGTGGGACAGAAACTTATTTCAGTGTAATTAATGTAAGCAATTGGACTCTCTGAAGAATCTTTGCTGCCACTGACCTTACTGATCATGTCAGGCCTATATCCTGGAGTAAGCATTGCTGGCAAAGCTACAGGAACACCTAGATAAAAAAAAGTACATCTGATAAATTTTAACCTGGATTTAGTCAAGAATATGTTAACAAAGCTTTGAGACTTTTCTGTCTGAAAATCAGACACTTGATATAAAGGAGGCATAGAAACAAAAAGCACAACAGAAACCTTATCCTTTCACATAATCCTTTCACAGCCCTGAAGGTGTCTGCTTGTTAAAAACAGAACACATCCCCAGATCCTGTTTTTAGGTGTGGACTTCAGCACCCAGTCTGTGAGCAACATTGATGAACAGGTATAACAAGAGGCCTTGTATCTAACAATTTGTTTTCCCTATGGCAATATTCTCCCTTTGAAGGTAGCCTTTCATGTAGTTTCAAGCAATATCTTCCTGTCTTGATAATAAATGCACTCCGCTCTTTCTGAAGAGGACCTGCTGTTGTTCTCACTACCCAATATATATACAAGATGCCTCTGATAAGTCTTGGTTGCCAAAACAAAAGGGATGCCTTGTTCAGCGTATTGCAAATGGGCATGGTGTTGTGCCGATTTTGGCTCACTTATTTCCTATTCCACCCTGACATTTGTAAATTAAACTCCTATTTACAGATTTCCAAAGACTGTTCCAAGGTTTATGTGATTCCTTTAATTATGGCTTGAAGTAGAGGCAAATGCATTCCAAGAAACCAACAATTACCTGCAACATGTTATTACAGTGAGACTTATGGAGATCTGCAGCTTTTGTGAAACTCCATGAGACATAACAGGAGAAAAAACTGGTGAACCCAACAAGGTTGCAATACAGAAGTCTCAAAATACTAGAGTCGTCTTCCAGTACCATAGTTGGCATAACAGAATTAGAATGCATATGGAGCTGCCATTTGAAAGCCTCACAAGGTAAATAAGGAGTGTATTTTATATATAAATAAAAGTTTAGGAATTATATTAATTTATTTTTAAGACTATCACATATATACTTGACAGCTATATTGCTTTTGACATGCTGAAAGATATTTTCAGCAGAGCTACTGCAGTCAAAAATCCCTGAAAATTCAATATGACATGCTCACATAACCTTTTCCTTAGGGTTTTGTGGGATGATTGTTCTGCAGATGTTCCTGAAATAGACATCTATTACACTGTAATTTATGTTTTGGCAACTGGGCTCATTGAACCTGATGATCCCTTCCTACGCTGTGTTTTCCTACATATACTCAGCACATTTTCTCATTTGGAAGTCCCAGGATAGAGTTTGTTTCTCTAAAGGTAGATAACAACGAAGGAATTTGTATCTGAACTAGGCATCCTGCTGTAATAATGAAAGAAGATCCAGACAGTCATGTGGGGTGGTATTTTGCACTGCAGCATAATATCAGCACATTATCAGTCTGCATCAAAGTATGAACTATGACAGGACTATATCTGCAATGGCTTTGAAATTATCTACATATTGTCAAAACTGTAAAGTGAATGTGATAGGTGGTAAAAAATAAAAATAAAATGTTACAGTGTTCATACCAGAACATCAGAGAGGGAATACAGACAGAGGGGCTTCTTAAGCAAAAATTGCAGAGATGTGAAGAGAAAGAGAGGTACAGTAACAGGCTGCCACATTAGCTGAGATGGTTCTAGCTTTTTCTTGCCATTTTAGCAAACTATTTTCTCTTGCAGAGTAAAAGTAAATAGTAAAATATTTCCAAACAACAATTGATTTTCAAAACAGAATTGTGAAGAAAGAAATTTTGTTTAGGACCTGTTTTCTGAAGGCACCTACTGTTAGACATCTGTGGTGATAGAAGGGATCTTTGCTCTGTAGCTCTTTGCATGGACTCCAAGACACTCAGGCTTATGATATAGATCTATGTAGGTCACACCTTCTCTCATTCCCATGGGCAGAAGGGTGTGCTGGCCTTGCAGAGCACATTTAAAGAACATTACGTTTGGCACATGGCTGGGAAATCTCTGTTGCTGGCTGGCAAAACTGCCTCAATAATCCACTTAAAAGAGAAACATGGACACTGTTGGATGTTGCTGATCCAACAGCATTCATGAGTTTTGAATCTGATTGTGAGCATCCTGCTGTGCAGAATTGCTGCCTTCCTTTGTCAGACTGCAGTAAAGAGCAGTGGAAACAAGGCTGTGCATCTACCATACTTGAGTGCTGCAAAGGAGTGGAGATTTGTGCCTCTGTGCCAGTAACAATGTAAACATGGCACACATGAAATGTCTTTCATGGCAAATCCGTGGCTGAAACACATGCAGTTCCTTAGGGATTTATGTACTTCGTTTAGTGCCCTAAATATCCTTACAGAATATTATCCTGGACACCAAGCAATTGCTGTACACTAAATAGCATGAATTCAGTCAGAAAACCAAGAACAGGAACACTCATCAGTCAGTGAAAGAGTATTTTCAAAATATAGGTGCCCTATTTTTGATCTGTCAATTCTCATCATTGAGAGGAGCTAATGGGAAGATTTACAAAATCTTTTAAAGACAAGACTTGGAACTACAGTCCAAGTATAAGCAGTATAAGGCTACTGTCTGTCATATTCAGGGATTCAGTAGAGATATTGATTTTGTAGTATATTATAAATTTTCTTATCCTTCATATGTATTTAACTCCTCATTGATATATGATTATCTGTTCTTTTCCTCCCTTTGTGCTCCATATATGTAGGTAAAAGACTTTTATTTCATCTCTTGCAAACATCGTCTTTCTCCATAGGTAGCAGCTATCCTTCTTTCCTCAAATTGTCTAACTGATTAAATTACATTTCCCAGCCTGTATTTACTCTGGATATCTTAATAAAAGATATTAACTCTTCTATACACCTTGCTTCATAGATGGATACTTTCAGATCCAAGGAATTACAAAGCTCTCAGCCTCATTCAAAACTTGGAGAAGTAGAAACACTGAAAAAAACAAGAAAGAAGTATCAAGAATACCTTGAATTCTGTCCATCCCAGCTGATAGTCGTGAGAGTTTTTAGAAATATTCATATCTTAGGCAAGACCACCTGTAATCCTTAGGAGACTGATGGTTGTGTAACTGAATCCTGTGAACATTTTGCAAAGCTTTAAGTTTTATTCTGCAGCTTGCTCAATGTTAATATTATTTTGGTTCATTCTTGTTCCTTCATGCCCCCTTAATGGTCACTCTAAGAATAAAAAAAAGGCCAACATTTTCATGTCAATTAAGCAACATAATTTTTCATTCACCAGTTTAAATTTAAAAATTAGCCCAAGGAGAAGGGAGTGAACTCACCTATACTGTCTTTCTTCTTTTTTTTTAATAGGAATAAAGAGCAGTTTAGTAATGGTACACTCCAGTCGGGTGAGATGAAGCCCTTTCCTGCCATGCTGTTATCTTCTGGAGTCACTGGGTGGGTCCAGATGGCACTAGGCAACCTGATGGCCTTTGTTAATTCTGTTGTGAAATACAAATGGGGTTTTTGTCACCCAAAAAAGGTAGGCTTTTCTTTTCCACTGCAGGACTTCAGCATCCTTTACTCCCTTGTGAAGTGAGATTGACAGCAATGTGACTCTGTCTCTGTGAAGGAACAATATATCTTTCCTGCATAAGGAAATTTCTGTCAAAATAATGACACAATTATAGCTCTATTTCTTTTGAGAGACTTTTTACACGAGAGTATGCTATTCATCAGTGATTTTGGGAACCATAATGGTAAGAACTGTGATATCTGTAAAATCCCCTGGCATTTCTGGGAAAACAAACTCTCAAGTTGTAAATATTTTTCCTACACTTAAAATATGAATTCCAATGTTACCTATAGATAAATGATAAAACATTTTCTTGATAATAAATTTAAGGCCTTCTTTGTTCTCAAGATGTTTTGTAAGCAGCTTCTTTTCTATTCTCTTGCTCATTTCTCCTTTCCCAGGATCCTGCAGCTTCTGTTTTTTGTTATGCTTCTGTACTGCCAGCCTGAAAGCAATCCATCAGCTGTCTCAGTTTCCTCCTAAAACTCACACTCTTTCTCTTCCCCCTCTCTCTTTCATTTTTAAAGCAAAGTTGCAAATACATTTTGAGCATTGTTTTTAGTGAAGTCACCACAGAAATGGGACATGTCATTCAAGTCTCCATACTTAAACCCGGCGATTTTTTCTTGATTACACAAAGTTCAAGGGAATGTGCTCCAGTTTTCTGATGCTGAACATCTCTACTGGAGAAAGGTCTTATCGACTCATGTCTCCTTAACAAGAGAGAAGATAAAAAAGGCATGTTAGCAAGCCAGGATAAACAATGGCTTATCCTAAGTACGGGATTTAATGAAATAATTCAAAGCTAGTGGAAAAGAATGTCAGATCCATAAGTATGCCATTCACTCTAAATTTAAAATTTAGACTACATACTTATTTTTTCAATACTTTTGTCAGCACGAGATGGAACCACCATAACACATAGGGTAGAGTTCAACTCACCTAACTTGAGATTTTTTTGAAGTCAGATACGTACACATGAATTTAGCACTTGAAATGGAACCTTTTCAGAGAATGTGTCTTAGATATCTGTCCACTAAAGGGAAGCATTTTTCTAGCTTTTAGAAACTGGAGGGGTGAATCCCCGTGACAGTTCTTATGAATGATTCATGCTTAGCACACATGTGAAGTGAGCTAAGTCTGACAGCTTTATAGCCACATTAAATCTGCCTTACCTCTAAATGTGACCTGTCCCATGGTACTTTCTATCAAACTGCAAGACAGAGGACGTTTCTGTTATGCCTCTGCTTCTGGTCTGTTTATAAAAGAGAGAGCTCCAAAATAGTTTTATTGAACTGGAGAATGTTGAGCTTAATTGGTTTGATGATTATAAGCCTGAAAATTTGTAGCTTAAACTTATTAACATATAATTTTACTTTATATTTTTATGTGCCACCAGTATTTATGGGGTTAAATATCAAGTCCTCTGATGCTCAACTTCCCTTTATGCTTACATGAAGTGTTATGTGATTGGAGTTATGTCCTTTTTTGTGTCCTCTGCATCTTAGTTACAAAAACACTGCTATTATGCTACTTAATGATTTAAGTAAATGAAAGCAGTTGATTTTTGGTTAATGAACCTTACAGAGAAATAGGGTAACAAAAAATGCTAATGATAGTTATTAGTAGACTGTGTTTCAAGTGACAATAATAATCTGAGAAGCTACATTATTTTTTGTATTGACAGTTTGTAAAAGCTTCACACATTAAAATTCAGTTTAATTGAAATTAACATATATACAGTTACCTCCAGCCTTTCTGACAATGGAAGAATTTGTTCACTATTATAAGGTGGGAATAATTTTTATTCCTGTAAAAGAGCTGTAGAAAGAGAACTTGCTTGCCAGCTTGCCATCTGAAATGTTCTAAATAATCAATTAAATTGCACAGGAGATAGTATTTTAATGCCTAATTCATTCAGTCAAAATATTTTATTATTATGTTCCCATTATAGTATCACCACTTACAGTCCAATCCTGTACATTTTTCTGTTCCATCTCACTACAACAACCTGGATGAGGAGGTTGAGTCCACCATTAGCAAATTTGCAGATGACACCAAGCTGGGGGGGAGTGTTGATATGCTGGAGGGCAGGAGGGCTCTTCAGAGGGACCTGGACAAGCTGGAGAGATGGTCTGATTCCAACGGGATGAGTTTCAACAAGGCCAAGTGCCGGGTCCTCCACTTTGGCCACAACAACCCCCTGCAGCGCTACAGGCTGGGCACAGAGTGGCTGGAGAGCAGCCAGGCAGAAAGGGACCTGGGAGTTTGGATTGACAGGAAGCTGAATATGAGTCAGCAGTGTGCCCAGGTGGCCAAGAAGACCAATGGC